TGTTTTGCGCATTGAAGCCATTTCTGATTTATGATGACCCTAGCGCAGGATTTACTTGACTTTGCCTTATTCTGAGGGTGAAAGAGTGTGACTTGTCTAAGATTACTCAATAGGTTTCCATGGCTGAGCAGGGATTCAAACCTGATCTTCAGAATTGTAGTCCAACACTCAAACTCCACTGGCTCTTATCAGTTGTCCCTAAAGGAATATAGCATACGCTATTTGTATCTTTTCCAATTTGTTACTCATTTTTCCTCCAAAGAGTTGAGCACAGAGTCCATAATGACCGACCTTTCTTTGTGTGTGTATGTGCCTTCAGTGTCCCTATTGACTTATGGCACCTCATAAATATTTTAGGATTTTCTTAAATAAGGAATAATCCAATGATGTTTTGCCAGTTTCTTCCTCTGAAATACAGCCCAAAGCACCTGCTATTCATTGGTGGTCTCCCATCAAAGTACTAATGGGGGTTGATGCTGCTTGCTTCCAAGATCAGGTGTTTCCTCTCTTATCCTCACCCAAACAGTGGAAAGAAATTAGATAAAACAGGAAGATTAAGTGACTAACCTCCCAGTCATCCATTAAGTCATAAGGCGGAGGGGGGGGGGGGACTTTGAACCCAACTCTCCTCAAGGCCTGCTTCTACTCACATTAGCACTACTGCCCTTTAAAACTATTCTCTGTAATAAAAAAAAGAACAAATCCAGTTTATAACTTACTAAGGAAATACAAAAAGGTGTGGGAGGGACAGTCTGAGTAGATATATATGCAAATTTGATTGTGAAGGATGCTAGATGCACTCAAATGAACAGTCCACACTCCTAACATCTCACAGTACTGATCCTGAACTTGTCAATTACTCCTTCTGAAGGACGGGACTCTAGAGTGACTCCAAAAGCAACATTTGTTGCTTACTACTTTCCTATGCTGGAGATATTATACATAAAGGATTCGACTTGGAGGAAGTAGTGTGACACTTGAGGAAAGAACATCAACAATTTTAAGATACGCAGATGACTTTATAATACTAGAACAGAATAGAAAAGACTTGGATAATGAAGAACACAAAAATAATGGTCAGAGATATAATGTACCTAACTTTAAAGTGGGCAATGACCACATTGAGATAGTTCAGTATCTTCCATAGCTTGGCTCAGTCATAAATTAGAATAGATACTACAGTCAAGAAATCAGAAGACAGCTTTGAAAGAACTAAAGAAAGCTCTGTAGTTTCAAGATATATCACTGAATGCTAAAGTTAGAATGGTCCATTGCATTTCCTATCTCTATGTATGGCTATAGAAGCTGGGAAGTGAAGAAAGCTGGTAGGAAGAACATTAATGCATCTGAGATGTGCTGGAGAAGATCAATAAACAGCAAATTAAGCTTGAACTCTCCTTAGAAGCCAAGATGAGTAAACTGAGACTATCTATTTCTAACATATCACAAGAAGAGAACAGTTGGGTTGCTGTGAGTATTCTGGGCTATATGGCCATGTTCCAGAAGCATTCTCTCCTGATGTTTCACCCACATCTTTGGCAGGCATCCTCAGAGGTTGTGAGGTCTGTTGGAAACTAGACAAAGGAGGTTTATATATCTGTGGAATGTCCAGGGTGGGAGAAAGAACTCTTGTCTGCTCGAGGTAAGTGTGAATGTTGCGACTGGCCACCTTGATTAGCATTCAATGGCCTTGTAGCTTCAAAGCCTGGCTGGTTTCTGCCTCAGGGATCCTTTGACAGGTTTCAGCTGGCCCTGATAGATTTTTGTCTGGAATTCTCCTGTTTTTTTAGTGTTGCTCTTGATTTACTTTCCTGATTTTAGAGTTTTTTTTAATACTGGTAGCCAGATTTTGTTCATTTTCATGGTTTCCCCCTTTCTCTTGAAATTGTCCAGATGCTTATGGATTTCAGTGGCTTCTCTGTGTAGTCTGACACAGAGTCTGACAATTGACCTCACAACTTTTGAGGATGGGCAAAACATCAGGAGAGAACGCTTCATACGGCCTGGAAAACTCACAGCAACCCTGTGATTCCCTTGACAACACATTAAAGACAATAGTGCTTGGTAAGACAGAAGGCAGAGCCAACAGACTCATGGTTGGCTGTTGTTTCTCAATCTGAGTTTTCAATCAGCTTCAGTTTAATCATTTTGACTTCTAGGGAGAGTTGAGACTTCATTTGCTGTAGGGTCCATGTTCAGCAAGTCTCAGAGTTACAAACGTCCAACTTACATTCCTCTCATAGTTAAAAATGGGCGTGAGACAACAGGAAGTCAGAGAAAACTGCCCCTAAGAAGGGAAATTTGCTCCTGAAAGAGTTATCATGCGGGGAAAAGATGTCTTCACTGAAGCTTTCTCACCAGTCTTTGTTTCCACAACAAGCTATTTTTTTTTCAAAATCAAAGTATCCCAGGGTTGGAAAGTGAGGCGAAATCTTCTGAACAGGGGCACAGGCAGCAAAACAAATCCACAGGGGTCTTAACCCTTACCAATGTGATCCAAAGCTTCGAAAAAAAGTTTTGGCTGGAGTTACACTTTAAACATGCCCTTGTTTCAACTTACATACAAATTCAACTGAAGAACAAGCCTACAGAGCCAATCTTGTTCGCAACTTGGGGACTGCCTGTGTTGATCTTTGGACCAGTTCTCAATCCGAGAAGCCACAGCCCTGGGTCTGCAAGACCTTGAGGACAGGCTGACTTAGAGGTCTCTTAACTTTAACTCAAAGGCAGCAGAGAACAAGAATAAAAATTCATAAAACATTCTTTCAGTGTTTGAATCTCACCTTCCCTAAGCCATGTATTTAAGGATGATTAGGTCACTCTTCCGAGAAAAGATCTCAACTTGTATTGTCCATGGCTTTCATGGCCGGAATCACTAGGGTGTTGTGTGTTTTCCGGGCTGTAAGGCCATGTTCCAGAAGCATTCTCTCCTGATGTTTCACCTACATCTATGGCAGGCATCCTTGGAGGTTGTGAGGTCTGTTGGAAACTACTTAGGCGATCCCTCGTAGTTCGAGGATGATGGTGTTCTGTCGGTGGGTCCGTAGGTGACTGTGGAGCCCTGTTCTTGATCTGCATCTTCTCCCGCAGTGAGGACATTGGTTTCCAGGTGGAAGGCGGTCCCGGTCGGTTGGCTTGATGCGCCTTCCTCTTGGCATTCTTTTCGCCCTCCATTTGTGCCTCTTCAAATTCTACAGCACTGCTGGTCACAGCTGACTCCAGCTGGAGCTCAAGGGCCAGGGCTTCCCAGTTCTCAGTGTCTATGCCAGGTTTTGTGGTTTTTCGGGCTCTATGGCCATGTTCTAGAGGCATTTCTCCTGACGTTCCATCTATGGCAAGCTCCTCAGAGACCTCTGAGGTGCTTGCCATAGATGCAGGCGAAACGTCAGGAGAAATGCCTCTAGAACATGGTCATATAGCCCGGAAAAAACCCACAAGAACTGAGTGATTCCAGCCATGAAAGCCTTCGACAATATCTGTGGAATGTCCAGGGTGGCCAATTGCTACATTCACACTTGCCTCAATCAGACAAGAGTTCTTTCTCCCACTCTGGACATTCCACAGGTATATAAACCCAACTTGCCTAAGTTTCCAACAGACCTCAAAACTTTTGAGGATGCCTGCCATATATGTGGGCAAAAAATCGGGGGAGAATGCTTCTGGAACATGGCCAGGCAACCCCGAAAAATCACAGGTCCAGAGTGGGTGAAAGAACCAGGCAGCAACCAGCCAGGCTTTGAAGCTGCAAGCTATTCAATGCTAATCAAGGTGATCAATTGCAACATACACACTTGCTTCAAACAGACAAGAGTCCTTTCTTCCACTCTGGACATTCCACAGATATATAAATCCCACTTGCCTGGTTTCCAACAGACCTCACAACCTCTGAGGATGCCTGCCACAGATGTGGGCGAAACGTCAGGAGAGAATGCTTCTGGAACATGGCCAGGCAGCCTGGAAAACTCACAGGCCTGGGGTGGGAGAAAGAACCAGGCAGCAACCAGCCAGGCTTTGAAGCTGCAAGGCCATTATATGTGAAACAAGCTAGCTAAATGCAACATTCACACTTGCCTCAAGCAGACAAGAGTTCTTTCTCCCACTCTGGACATTCCACAGATATATAAACCCAACTTGTCTAAGTTTCCAACAGACCTCACAACCTCTGAGGAAGCCTTGCCATAGATGTGGGCAAAACGTCAGGAGAGAATGCTTCTGGAACATGGCCAGACAGCCCGGAAAATACACAACAACCCAGATCTCAGCTTGCCCTCCCTCCCAAGGGGAAGAATTTCTGATAAAAGCTTTGGTTGCTCAGAAATAAGGACTTGAGCAAAGCATTCCTAGACTTTCAAGTCCCCTTGAGCTCCAGAGGGCTTCTTTCCTCGCAGGTAAGGAGGCAGAAGGTGCCTGGGCTCCGATCACATCAGCTTTGGGTCTTGAGAGCGACCTTAAATCCGGAGTAACCGAACGGAAGCGACTGGAGGAAGCGCGCCTGCTGTGCTGCAAAGGTCGCCAGCGCTTGAAACTTCACGCTCACTCCTCATCACACTAAAGAAAAAAATCAACTTAAAATCCGGTTTCTACCTACTGCAGAATACTGGGGTTTGTAGTTTAGTGAGGCTGTTAAAGGCTCCTCCCTAAACTACAAAGCCTAGAATTCTGTAGGAGGCAGAAAACGGATTTTAAGTGGATTTTTTCTCCAGTGTGATGAAGCAACATGTCGAATGAAGAAGGCTGATGGAAGCTGATTCTGGAGACAGCCCTTTCCCTTCCCTGTGAGGGCATCTGTAGAATCAGAACAGCTTGACACCACTTTCCCTGCCATGGCTCAAAGCTTTGGAATCAATCCTTTGGAGGGAGACCAGGCTCAACCTATCATCTCTCTCTCCTTCCTTCGCCTTTCCTTTTCCATTGAAGGAAGCCGGGCAATCCTTCCAAGCCCCAGCGCGCTTTTTTCCAACTTAGACAAAAAGCCAAAACTTTCCTTCCCGTTTTCTTACCTTGTACTTCATCCTCGCAAGCTTAATGAGGGGCGTCTTTGGGGGGAAATCCGGCCGCTTTACAGCGAGATCCCCTCGCCCACCATCGCCTTTGCCCTCTTAGAAGCGAAGCGCGTCCCCGCGCGTGGAGTGAGGCGCGTTCCCGCTGGAGGTCGAGCACCCTTCGGAGTCTCCGCCGCTCTCCGCGCATTGTTTGCCTGGCGGAGGGGGCAAAGCAATGGCTCATTTGCATACCTCTCCGCCATTGGCCAGCGCGCCAGACGTTCCTGAGCTAGTGACCCCGCCTCCCCTTTGGAACGGGTCATTCATTAGCGCTCTGCGTTGGCACGAAAGGGAGGGGGAGGGGGAGCAGGGGGAGGAGCCCAGGAAAGTTTTCCAAACTCAGAGCAGAGGTTTAGAGCCCTTCCACACAGCCTTATAACCCTCCGTGGTTGACGATTGAACTGTATCACTGTTTCTCAACCTTCCTAATACAGTTCCTCATGTTGTGGTGACCCCCCCAAGCATAAAATTATTTTGATTGCTACTTCACAACTGTAATTTTGCTACTGTTATGAATTATAATGTGAATATCCCATATGCAAGATGTATTTTCATTCACTGAACCAAGTTTGGCACAAATACCCGACACGCCCAAATTTGAATACTGATGGGGTTGGGGAGGGGGTTGATTTTGTCGTTTGGGAGTTGTAGTTGCTGGGATTTATAGTTCACCTACAATCAAAGAGCTGTCTGAACTTCACCAACGATGGAATTGAATCAAACTTTGCACACATAACTCCCATAACCAAGAGTAAATACTGAAAGGATTCGGTGGGCATTGGCCTTGAGTTTTAGAGTTGTAGTTCACCTGCATCCAGAGACTCAAACAATGATAGATCTGGACCAAACGTGGCACCAATACGCAATATGCCCAAATGTGAACACTGGTGGAGTTTGGGGAAAACAGACCTTGTCACTTGGGAGTTGTAGTTGCTGGGATTTATAGTTCGCCTACAATCAAAGAGCATTCTGAATTCAACCAACGATGGAATTGAACCAAACTTGGCACACAGAACTTCCCCGGCCAACAGAAAATACTGGAAGGCTTTGGTGGGCATTGACCTTGAGTTTTGGAGTTGTAAGGTAAAGGTAAAGGTAAAGGTAGTCCCCTGACATTAAGTCCAGTCATGTCTGACTCTGGGGTGTGGTGCTCATCTCCATTTCTAAGCCGAAGAGCCAGCGTTGTCCGTAGACACCTCCAAGGTCATGTGGCCGGCATGACTGCATGGAGCGCCGTTACCTTCCCACCGAGCAGTACCTATTGATCTACTCACATTTGCATGTTTTCGAACTGCTAGGTTGGCAGAATTTGGAGTTGTAGTTCACCTGTATTCAGAGACTCAAACAATGATGACTCTGGACCAAACATGGCACGAATACTCAAAATGCCCAATTATGAACACTGATGGAGTTTGGGGAAAACAGACCTTTTCACTTGGGAGTTGTAGTTGCTGGGATTTATAGTTCACCTACAATCAAAGAGCATTCTGAACTTCACCAACGATGGAATTGAACCAAACTTGGCGCACAGAACTCCCCTGACCAACAGAAAATACTGGAAAGGTTTGATAGGCATTGACCTTGAGTTTTGGAGTTCTAGTTCAAAAAGATCCAAAAGAGGGAGGAAATAACAGGAAAATGTGGAAATGATTTAACTCTTCAACCCACCTCTCCCAATAAAATGGACTATCCTTTGTCTAGCCCCTCCTTTTGGCCTCCATCCAGATAATGGAGCAGTCCTGTAATATAATAATATCTAATCTAGGTGCAAAGATTACTGCAGATCTGCAGCCAGGAAATCAGGAGACGCTTACTTCTTGGGAGGAGAGCAATGACCAATCTCGATAAAATATTGAAGAGTAGAGACATCACACTGGCAACGAAGATCCGCATAGTTAAAGCAATGGTATTCCCCATAGTCACCTACGGATGTGAGAGCTGGACCATAGGGAAGGCTGAGCGAAGGAAGATAGATGCTTTTGAACTGTGGTGTTGGAGGAAAGTTCTGAGAGTGCCTTGGACTGCAAGAAGATCCAACCAGTCCATACTTCAGGAAATAAAGCCCGACTGCTCATTGGAGGGAAGGATAGTAGAGGCCAAGATGAAGTATTTTGGCCACATCATGAGAAGAAAGAAAAGCTTAGAGAAGACAATGATGCTGGGGAAAATGGAAGGAAAAAGGAAGAGGGGCCAACCAAGGGCAAGATGGATGGCATCCTTGAAGTGACTGGCTTGACTCTGAAGGAGCTAGGGGAGGTGACGGCCGACAGGGAGCTCTGGTGTGGACCGGTCCATGAGATCACAAAGAGTCAGAAATGACTGAATGAATGAACAACCGCAATGCTGTTTGGGTTTTTCCTATGTACAATAAGTAAATAAAATTCATAATAAGTAATTTAGTTGTTGAAAGCTTTCAGGGCAGAAATCAGGTGTTGTGCACCTTTGAAGATGCCAGCCACAGATACAGGCAAAACGTCAGGAGTGAATGCTGCTCTTCCGGTGCCCACTCTGGGAGGAGCCTGAGTCCGCCGCACGGCTCCGGACCCCCTTCCACCACGGAAACCACCGCGGAAACTGCGGCCACATGGCCATACAGCCAAAAATACTCAGCAACTGAATTTTGCATCTTAAATTTTCCTGGTTAATAGTATAGGCTCTGCACAACACACCTTAATTATTTCCTTCTGTCCTTTCCTCCCTAACACTCATGTTATAAAGTACAATTAAAAGTCAAATGTGTCCTTTGGCATGGGGACAAGTTCTTTATTTACAAGTTGATTAGATGCTGGAGGGCAAGGTGGTTTCAAACAATATAGATGCCCCCCCTCCCCCGTTGGCAATTTTTAAATGATGTGCCAGTTTAAGACAAGGTGCTTCAGTTCACTCAAAGGCAAGCAGAGATGAATCAAATACGACCTACTATGTCCATACTTTATAAGTGGGCCTCTTTATTAGGTTGAAATGATTCCTGGCCAGACATTCACTATCTCAACTGGGAGAAACTCCAACCAGACAAAATGATTTGGACTGAAAAAATCTCCAGTCTGAGTCTCAAAGCATTCCGCTGCTGAGAGCTCAACGTTTTGTTTCTTTTATTCTGACCAAGTTGGACCTGCCCCAGTGTTTCTAAGTCACAGATGGACTCGGATGGCTTCCAACGGCCTAAAAACGAACAGTAGGCTGTATTCTGTTACCAGATTACTGTACAAGGATTCTGTTGCAGAGCAGATAGGCTTGGTGGAGGGAACCTGGCTTTTTTATTATTATATAATTCATTTAGAAAGACCATTTTTTGAAACTAATAACAGTCAGCTTACAAAATACAAAAGAACAGCAACATACCCATTTAAATTATGCTTATTATATTATTTATTTGTTTATTTACAGTATTTATATACCACTTTTCTCACCCCTGGGGGTGAGAAAAGCAGTTTACAAAAAATAATGGCAAAATTCAATACCTTAAATACATAAACCAAATCATAAATCACTAAATTATAAATTATAGCAGTTTTTAAAAATGTATTAGAAGGAAAAGGAGTAAATCAGAGACCTTCAATTTAAAAGTCAAGTGTGGGTTCTCTGCCCACCTGAAGCCATGAGTGTTGGGGTCTACTTGGGAATTTCATATCTGGGGTTCTACCACAAACAAGAACCTCTTCTCTCATTGAGTTTACAAAGATCACAGTTTGTGGGCAAGTTAATCAGATAGAAAGTAGCCTTTTGGGTCTCTTGGTCTTCATCTATGTCTGCCCCAAGACTGGAAGTACAATTCGATTCCGATATCTATAGTGGATACACTCCCAGATTTCACATGGACACACAAAATCATGGATAATAGTGAACTTTATTGAAATATAAGACTTCTGGCCCAAGAATACCATAGAGTCACATTGTAGGACCCAGAAAATGCCTGGAGAAGACATACAGTATTTTGTCAAAAGTTGATAAGTGGAATCCCATACTGGTGTTGCAGATATGGGGGTCATATTGTAATGGGTTGTGAGCAAAATAGTCAGTTACATTTAAAAAGGTCAATCTGCTAAGAGTAAGTAGAAATTTCCACTTCATGTCACCCTACTGGAAGGCTGTCATCTGTCCCTTATTATAGGGATTGTCCCTTTCTTCGAAGTTTGGGAAGCTTGTAGGACTGAAAGGTAACCTTTTAAATAAAGGAAACCCCCTCAGTGAGACTTAGGCTGGATCAAAATGGCCCTATATCCCAGGATCAGATCCCAGATTATTTGCGTTGAGCTGGATTATGTTAGTCTACACTGCCAGATAATCTGTGATAAGCAGATAATCTGGGATCCAATTGTGGGATATAGAGAAGCATAGATCTGGTCTTAGAAAACCTTTCCTTTTTAATAAACAAGATACCAGAGACTGCATGGAGCTGAGCAACATAAGAGTGTGGTGAAGATGGCAAAAAATGCTAATAAAGAAGACTATTTATGCCAAGAGAGGCTGCAGCAGTTTGCTCTTCCCTTAGCCTACTGCAAACTGAAAGATTAAACCCACACCATTTCTTGTTGAACTCATTTTATAGCAATTACTTACTTAGGCAATCCCTCATTGTCTGAGTATGATGGCCGTCCAAGCATAGGGTCTTGGTGGTGCATTCGTAGGTGATTCTGGAGCCCTATTCTTGAGCCACATGCTCTTTCACAGTGGGGACATTGGTTTCCAGGTGGAAGGCGGTCCCAGTCAGGGTTGGCTTCACACACCATCTTCTTGGCACATTTCTCCCTTTCACCCTCCATCCTCTTAGAATTCTGCAGCACTGCTGGTCACAGCTGATCTCCAGTTAGAGCACTCAAGAGCTGGGGTTTCCCAGTTCCTGGTGTCTATGCCACAGTTTTTAAAGTTGTCTTTAAGCCTATCTTGAAATCTCTTTTCCTGTCCACCAACATTTCCTTTTTCATTCTTGAGTTGAAAGTATAGTAACTTTGGGAGACTGTGATCGGGCATTCGGACTTTATTTTTGGCATTGCGGAGGGATTGGCTGGTGCCAAAGAGCACTGTTTTGTCGAAGCAAAGGAGAATAAGAGAAATGTGTAGAAGGGAGAATCTGGGACACTTTAAAAGCAACTGAAAAATGGAGACGACAGACAATTCATTGGGACTACCCCTGCTAAATTGCGACAGGCGGGAGTGTGA